TAAATGCCGTATGCAAACATAACAACGAAAAATGCAAAAAATTTAAAATTTATTTAAAAAACCAATGGGCGTTCGTTTTCAGCTCCTGTTTGAATTATTGTCATTCCGACTACTTGACATCACATGTGAGAGGAGTAGAGAGGAAGTTGGTGAAGCAGAAGCTGCTCAACAAGAAAACTTTCCAGTATAAGAAAGATTTACTTTTAGAAATGAAACCAGAGTTTGCCAAAACAAGCAAAAATTTGCTAAATGTAAAATCCGACAGCACTCTAAGGAAGTTAAAATCAGAGACTTCCAGACAGTTAGACAGGTCAAAGGACGATATGACAGACATAATGATGATGCTGAAGGATCATCCAGAATATATTAAAGAAATATCAATTCCTTTTAATATCAAACTATATAGTATAGAACAAATAAACGTTATGAAATCTGAAAAATGCGGTGATGTCCTTGATATTGTATATTTTGATGCAACTGGAGGAGTTGTAAGAAATCCGTTTCCTTTTATTAAGAAAAGAAAATATTTATATACTGCAGTTATTCCTATAAGGCCGTCCAAACGAATTTTTCCCATATTCTCGATGGTTTCAGCCAATCACGATACCAACACCATTTTCAAACTGTTGCATGATTTTAGATACTTTTGCGAAGAGCAAAATGCTTGGTCAGCGTTATCGGGTGTCGTCACCGACTTTTCATTTGCAAATTTGCATGCTATTTGCAAAGCCTTTAACAGACGTACTATATCGGAATATATTCAGTTATGTTACGATGGAGCCATAGAAGGAAAATCGACAGATAAAAGTGTCATTAAAATATACTTGTGCTGTGCTCATTTTATAAAAATGATATGTCATGATGTTGACCGCATAGCGAAAAATGACAGAGTCGGTATGTCAAAGATATGCTGGCAGCTGGCTTATCCATTCATAACAATAACGATTTTGATGATTTCGTTTGTAACACCTATATTATATTGAACTCCCAATGCAATAGTCATTTAGTTGAACGATCGAAACTATTTTTCAAAAAAGCAGCAGATGAATTCCAGTCTGAAAGTATCAATGAATTCACTTACATTGAAAATGCTATTGAAATCGACCACCAAATATGTGATGAAGTAATATATACTTCAAGTCCCTTTTATAAGCGATATTTATCTTTAACTCAAAAATCTCAATTACATTTGCTCCGAGGGATAACAAAAGTGAGTACTTCAATGAAGATATGCTACAGCTTATTGCAACAAAATACATGCCATATTGTCGGCTTTGGTCGAAATTGATGACAGAAAGTGGCCCTCTGTTAAGCAACGCTTATGTCGAAAACTATTTCGGACAGTTCAAACAAAACTCTCTCAATGGAAGGCGCAATCTGAAATGTTGAGAATTTGTCAGGATACTGAGAAGAGATATACTGTCTTTGAGCAAGGAGAGTAACCTTCAAGTATCTAAGACACGCCTTGCGAGAAGCAAAGATAACTCATACGAAAAACTTTCACAGGAGACATGGAATAGACGGAAAAGAAATCACACATCTCACTTTAGTGGTACATATTTAAAATCAGCTGTTGTAAATCCCGACAAAGATAATAAAATCGCCATTCAGGACTGCGTTTTTGCCGAGGACGATTACGATTTCGCGCAATGCATTTATTGTGGTCATGGTAATACGGACGATGTCAATAATTGCTTTGCATGTAAGAAATGGGTACATTGTTTGAAATTGGAAAACAAAGTCGATATGGAAACATTCAATTTCACACGCAAGATATGCACCTCAGAGCTTCCTCAAATATCCAGTTTGAGTGATATCTATCAGAGCTGTGAGGAACACTTAGAGTCCATAAAGTTATCCCCAGAACGGATTTCTATGATAGAACGCGATACACGCCTTCAAAGCAACTGTATAAGATGGCAAGAAGAAAGACAGATTAGAGTTACCTCGTCGTATTTCGGAAGAATTTGCAAGGTAAGGGATGAAAACTCGTACGCTAACATAGTAGCTGCGATTAGAGGTGGAAACAGTATAAGAACTCCAGCTACTACTCACGGCCTCAAATATGAGAAAGACGCCATACAACTGTACGAAAAACAAATGAACGTTCACTGTTCTACGGCTGGCTTGATGATACACCGTGAGTACCCTTATCTTGCTGCTTCACCAGATGGGCTTGTAGGAGAAGACGGTATTGTAGAGGTAAAATGCCCGTACAATGCTCGAAATTCCGATCCCCAAAAATATGATTTCGACTTTCTGAATAAGAATGGAGAATCTATTCGACGCATACATAATTACCATTACCAAATGCAGGGTTTACTTGAAATAACTCGGTCTTGGTGCGATTTAGTCATTTATACGTTCAGAGATGTCAAAGTCCTGCGAGTTCCATCTGTTACCTTCTGTTCTAAATTTTTCAAACCTACCCAAGTCACAAAGGAAGTGGACAACTGCCGAACCAATAAAAGTTATGGATAACGGTTTGGTAGAAAACGTTTTTTTCTACCGACAGTTGCCGGATAAAGGGGATTACATAGTATTAGTAAACAGGGATCTGTACTTTTCAATTCAAGAACTGCTTCAGGACGATTTTGCTACACTGGACGATAGGCAGTATCTAAGTAATTTCGTCGTGGATCACTGCCTGTTACACAATCAATAGATCTAGCGGCAACAAATTCCAAATTGTTTCAGTTTCGAAATCATCGATAATATTTTCTGACAACAATTATCCCATTTCCTTCGTTGAAAGCGTTACGTTCACCAAAGATTTGATAGTTATGCTAGTTCTCCAAAATAATCATTACACATTACTGATTTTCTCAATCACGGAAAATTTAGTGACGTTTCTTGATCCCATGGGTAATGAGTTACTCTTCAAAAATACTTATTGTGAAAGACTGTCAACATTTTTGAGGTATAAAAACATAAGCATAACCAAGTTCAATTTTAAAATACCAGACCACGTTAGACAAAAAGACGATCATAACAGCGGTGTCTATATAATACATTTTTTCAAAAAACTTGCCAAGAACATGAGGCTGGACTGTCAAGTAGATATAGATGAGCAAAGGATAAATTTCAAGTGGATGTTACTTCGCAACAGCTCAGTTATGACGGAGATATTTGCCTTTTCTGTGCCCGTTCCAAAGCTCGAGATAAGGCAGATTGTATTTTCGCTTGTAGGCTGTGTAGAAGAAACATAAATTTGAAGTGTCTCCTTACAGCAGCAGAATTGGAGAAAAATATAGACGTAAACGAGAAAATGCCTAATAAAATATGTGACCTCTGCAGAGCCAACTTAACTAAATGCTTCACCTAGATATAATACGTTTGCATTAATATATACATTTGGCTGCCCCTTCTTTAGTAGATACCATATAGCGTGATCTGGTCCACTAATTTCAGAAATTTTGGGTTATGTCGTATTCTGGGGAATTATTTCCTTGGAGGTGAAAATGAATTCTTACTTATTTTTCTTATCTGCTATCTCTCCTTGTCGTCTAGCTTATAAATCGTCTTTATAATGAAGTATTTTTTTGAATTTGAATTTATAAACATATTTTTTTATCTGCCAGCCTTTCAGAAGCTTTCTCACACTATGCCACCTAGCCTATAAAATAGAGTAACAGAGAATTTTTTGAGGTACAACTGATTTTGGGGAATCATTTCCTTGGGGGTGAAAATGAATTTTTTAGCATATTTTTTTATCTGCCAGCCTTTCAGAAGCTGTCTCACACCATGCCACCTAGCCTATAAATAGTCCCTATAATAGAGTATTTTTTGAGGTACACCTGATTTTGGGGAATCATATCCTTGGGAGTGAAAATGAGTTTTTTAAAATATTTTTCATCTGCCATCCTTTCAGAAGCTTTCTCACACTATGCCACCCAGCTTATAAATTGTCTCTATAATAGAGTATTTTTTTGAGGTACAACTGATTTTGGGGAATTATTTCCTTGGAGTTGAACATAAATTCTTACTTATTTTTCTTATCTGCTATCTCTCCTTGTCGTCTAGCTTATAAATCGTCTTTATAGTGAAGTATTTTTTTGAGGTACAACTGATTTTGGGGAATCAATTCCTTGGGGGTGGAAATGAATTTATAAACATATTTTTTGTCTGCCACCCTTTCAGAAACTTTCTCACACCTTGCCACCTAGCCTATAAATTGTCTCTATAATAGAGTTTTTTTTTGAGGTTCAAGTGATTTTGGGGAATCATTTCCTTGGGGGTGAAAATGAATTTTTTAGCATATTTGTTATCTGCCACCCTTTCAGAAACTTTCTCACACCTTGCCACCTAGCCTATAAATTGTCTCTATAATAGAGCATTTTTTTGAGGTATAACTGATTTTGGGGAATCATTTCCTTGGGGGTGAAAATGAATTTTTTAGCATATTTTTTTATATGCCAGCCTTTCAGAAGCTTTCTCACACCATGCCAGCTAGCCTATAAATTGTCTCTATAATAGAGCATTTTTTTGAGGTACAACTGATTTTGGGAAATCATTTCCTTGGGGGTGAAAATGAATTTTTTAGCATATTTGTTATCTGCCACCCTTTCAGAAACTTTCTCACACCTTGCCACCTAGCCTATAAATTGTCTCTATAATGGAGCATTTTTTTGAGGTATAACTGATTTTGGGGAATCATTTCCTTGGGGGTGAAAATGAATTTATAAATATATTTTTTTAGCTGCCACCCCTTCAGAAGCTTTCTCACTCCATGCCACCTAGCCTATAAATTGTCTCTATAATAGAGTATTTTTTTGAGGTACAACTGATTTTGGGGAAACATTTTTTTGGGGTGAAAATGAAGTTTTACTTATATTTTTTTATTTACCCCTCATTAATAAATTATTTTCAATACCATATATACAATAATCTGTAAGTGAAAATTCGAAGAAAGGTTTTGTGGGTTAAGTCTTGTTCCTGCGAATTATTTAATTGGGGTGAATATGAAAATAAAACAACACGGTTGGTAGTTTTAAATGACTTTATTGTTTTTCGAAGTATTCTCCACGAAGATTAATACATACCTGCATGCGCTCGAACCGATTTACGAAGCACTTATTCCACTCGTTTGCTGGCAGATGCAAAATGGCATTTTTGAATGCGTCAACTGCTTCTCCTGGTGACTGGAACCTTTGACCACGCTGTCTGTTTTCAATTTTCGTGAAAGTAAAGGAATCGTTAGGACTTAGATCGGGACTGTATGGAGGATGGTCCAATAATTCCACGTTTTCTTCCGTTAAATACTGCCTTGTTTTTTGGGCTGTGTGCGGGCTTGCATTGTCTTGGTGGAGGATATTTCTTCTTTTGGGGTTAATATTTCGAAGCTCGGTGATGACTTTTGGCAAACAAATGGTGGTATACCACTCCGCAGTAATAGTTATTGGCTCATTAAGAGGAATTGTTGCAATATGACCCGCTTTTGATGCAAATGTCGCGACCTTTTTTTTCGAAACACTTCGAGACCGGATGACTTTTGTTGGCTTTTCTTCACCTTGGAACACCCAAACAGCCGACTGTCGTTTATTTTCTGGTTCATAAGAGTAAGTCCACGATTCATCAACACTAACAATGCTGTACACATTTTTTGAGTTTCCGGAATTGAAACGGTCAAGCGTTATTTGACACCAATTAACCCTGGCTGCTTTCTGCTCTTCAGTCAACAGGTGGGGGTATCCAACGAGAAACTAATTTTCTTACTCCTAATTCTTTATGTAAAATTTTTTGAATTGAAGTCTTTGAGATCTTCAAGGACGCCTCAATCTCGTGATAAGTCACATGTCTATCTTCAATTATGAGTTTGCGCACAGCATCGACGTTTTCCTGGATGACTGCCGTTTTTGGTGCATCCACCCTGGGATCGTCGCTAAGACTCACCCGTCTACGTTTGAATTCTCCATACCAACGGGAAATTGTCGACTGATGTGGCGCTTCGTTGCCGAAAACAGACAGTAACTCAGCAAGGCATTCTTGTTGCGATAATTGTCTCTGAAAGTTGTAATAAATTATGGCGCGAAAATGTCCTCGGTTGAGTTTCATTTTTCTAATGACTTGGTGACACTTAAAAAATCACTGTAGTTTGAACACTGCACGTATTGTTGTGAAACTTTGAATTTAAGTTTACTAAAGAGTGAGGTTAAGATTCAGTACTGACGTTCGATCCGCGCGGCCTACTATGTTTCTATATGCAAAACTTAAACGATATCCCTCGTATATTTATTGTTGCGAGATGTTAGCTGTATCCTTCACAATCACAGTCTGGAGTCTGGTCGAGGATGTCGACGCCACTGGTCATTCGGGTATCTTCGGCAAATTGTCTGCTAAGTTTTGTCTGCCAACTTCACACCGGTTAAACCAACAACGTCTAATACATCACAAAACATAAGTAACTGATTATTACTTCATTATTCACTCTTTGACATTTGTCAGGTCAACAACAACTTTTAGGGAGTGTATGTTCCGTATCGATACAAATGATATCCATGATTGTATTCCGATATTTTAGAGTATCGATACTTCCTAAAACGACAAGAATCGATACATATCGATACTTTTCGTGGATCGAACATCCCTAATCTTGACAGCTTGTCTCTTGACAACTGGGCTTCTAGGTGCGCTGAAACCCTTTACTATTTTACATTTTGCTAAAATCTTATGACAAATAGAAGCTTCAAATGAAATATTGACGAATATGAATGGATATGCATAGAATCTAGAATATAAATTCATATTGCAGGTTTCAGGTTATCTAAGCATGGACTTGAACCGGATTTTTCGGCATTTTTACCGAAATGAGAATATTTATCGAAAACGTAATTTTTCATGATTTTTCAAAATAATTCAAATATTTCCATACTTGCCGAAAAAGGGCTGGAACCAAAATAAAACTAATCGTTTATTTACTGTAGTCTTCGTAGTTTTATGCCCCATATCACAATCATACATATGCATACACACTCGGGCAGTCGGGCACATGAGATGCGTAGATTTGGGTTGCCTATGATTACAAACGCAAATCCTCATCCCTTACTTCGCTTGCCCTGAAAGGTACAAAAGGTACAGTCTGGTAGATTATTGTCATTGCCGCATCCCCGGACAAGTAATAAAGAAACCGAAACCTGTCTGTTTTCAAAATAAATATTTAATTAAATTTTGAGGTGAGTTCATGAGTTCAGAAAAATATTCACAATCCTATAAGCAAGAATCGAAAAAGGAGTTTCCAGAATGGTTGCAAAGTACTTTGAAAGAGCAATCAGTATGCACATTGTACAAGTTATAATAAGAACTACGCCCTCAAAAAACGTTTTTTATAGACGGCATAGCATGACTCAAAGGTCCTTAATCCACCACTGATCTTGAGACGGCACTTTTCATTATACCGAATTCAACGAAACTAGTTACTGATTGCGTTTTTTTCGGTTTTGCAACACTGCAGAAAACTTCAAAAGCAACTAGCATTGCAGATGTCTTTCTTTTCAAACAAAAATGAAAGATAATAATGAGTTTTTCAAATATTTTGGTAAATAGGTATTTTTGGTTCTGACTTACCTATAATATCTAGTCGAAGTGGATGCGCATACATTTACAAATATCGATGATTTAGGACCCAGAAATGCAAATTGACAATTAAATAGTTTTTGATGTAACAAAAGATTATGAACCAGTTGGAATACGTTTTGTATCATTTTTTTTTGCAAAATAATAAAAATCGGTACATTTACACAGGTACGTATTATGTACAACACTCTGTACGTGATATAGAAACAAAACTAGATTGGTGTGCACGGACAGTCGTCAAAAACAGTGAAAACATCCTATTAAATATAATAGCTACGTCCGTACCTGCCCAGTTTAGCTCAGCAGCTACTGATCTGTGCTCCGTAAATCTATAGGATTTTATAGTGAATTTAGTTAATTTTTCGTTTCGATTTCTACGTAGACATTAACAGCTAGCATCAGACTGTAAGTACTGCATTTCAGAATCCTGAAATAATTTGTTTTCAACATAAAGTACGTGCATAAACAAATCGCTACAAACTAGAACCATCCGTTTGCTACGAAATTCCAAGGAATTCCACGTCTGTTCACAGTTGGGGACAGGTCCGTACTGGAAATGGTGCAAGGAAGGTTTGAGTCAGAAGAATACGTATACTAATAATATGGAAGGCGTTAATATTCCTACAGAAACTCAAAACAGCAACTCACCACTAAATTACTCCCGAGCTCTCAAACGCCAGATATCCAAATACCCTAACAAGGAGCAGGCTATAATATTTAATACAATAGATGGAGCCCGAATACAAGATTATATCATCGAATTAGGTCCTCTAGTTGAGCCAAAAAATATCATATTCTGTTCTAGAGTAGCAAATAACAGAATATGTGTTTACTTATCCAGCAAAAACGCAGTCGATGCATTTTTGGACAACCATGGGAAAATCGTTGTTCATGGTGAAACTATTAAGGCGAGGAGATTAGTCACACCATCGGATCGTTTGGTCATATCAAATGTGTCCCCTACTATTCCACATAATATTATTCAAAACTGCTTGGAGCAGTTAGGTCTCCAGTTACAATCTCCCATGTCATTCCTAAGGATTGGGACCACTATTCCAGAGTATAGTCATATACTCAGCTTCAGACGTCAAGTATACATAGCTCCCACCGAAAGTACCATACCAGAATCCTTGGTGATTAGTCATGAAGGGTTGTCATATCGCATATTCTTATCATTGGACAGCCAAAAATGTTTCAAGTGCAACCAATCAGGACACATAGCCAACAATTGCAGATCTACATCCCAACCATCGACCTCAAACATGGATGATACCGTCCTTCCCTCATCCTCAGTAAAACCCAATAATAACATGTCTAGCAGTATTCAACTGGAACCCACTATCACACAGGCAGCCGAAGTTCGACAGACACAACTGCCAATCTTAACTGAAGAATCTCCTAACAGACAGACCATATCCACTCCACAACCAATATTGAGTCAAAGCAAAGAACTTAACATAGAAATGCCACCTACTCCATCCGTAGCAACCACCGACGATGCCAGCAACACAGGCAAAAGAAGTTTTTCAACAATTGTTACCCCAACATCAGATGTTGAAACCTCATCAACTCCAACCTCCGGACCGACCTTTATAAAGCCAGCTAAAGCATCAGTGAAAAAAACAAAAATAGACTCCCAGCAAGCAGTTATTTCAGATCAAGCCTACGAACCAGCCAAACGTTTTATAGACACAAACCAAGACCTTTTAGTATTAAATTCTATCCAGATGAAAAGTCTCTTAGAAAATGTGCACGGAACCCAGAACGTTATATCAGTAGTAAACGAATACACCGTAGATATAAAAAGCTTGATTGAAACAATACTGCTCATATACCCTCATTTATCGGACCGAGCCCTGAAGAACAGGTTAACCAGGTTGCGCAAAAAACTAGAACGGCACATCGAAAATGACAATATCGACAGCGAAACCTCTTCTGTAGATTCTAGTTTCTTTTAATAATTTACAATGGCGTTCAAATCCATATTGCAGTGGAATCTAAATGGTTACTACCCACGCTTAAACATGCTACGTAAACTTATATCTGACTTTGCACCTGATATCATATGTCTTCAGGAAACTCACTTCCATGAATCTAAAACAAATTCACCTAAAGGATATAATGGATTTTTCAAAAATCGCAATAGTGCAACAGCCACTTAATCTTACCACCAATCTGGAAGCGATTGCAGTAACTTTGGATGCTCCTGAAAAGCTAACTATCTGTAACGTATACATTCCTCCGAATTACCACATAGATGACCAAGAACTAGAATCACTTTTGCAACAAATACCTTCCCCAAGGATAGTTCTAGGTGACTTCAATGCACATAACTACACATGGGGCTCATTCAAAAATGACTCAAGGGGAAACCTAGTAAACGACCTACTAGATTCATTTGGCTTAGCTTTACTGAATGACGGCAATAGTACCAGATTTGATGCTGCTACGGGCAGATTCTCCGCTATCGATCTTAGCATATGTTCTCCCAGGCTCCTTAGCCACCTACAATGGAATACACAAGAAGACTTATATGGAAGTGACCATTTTCCAATAGTTATTACTAACTCAAAGTTCTGCAATAACAATGAGACAATGCCACCCCTTAAATGGAGATTGCAAAATGCAGACTGGAACCAATTTGCGACTCATATAGAAAATAATCTAAGACAAGAAATATTCCCCGAGGATGACATTAATTCCATAATTGAACAATTCAGCAAGGTCATCACAGATGCCGCACATCGCAGTATGGGGAAAACTAACCACATCAGGAAAAGAAATCCAGTCCCTTGGTGGAACAACGAATGCGAAGCAGCACTTCAATCCAGTAAACGAGCTATCAACAGACACAAGAGGCTTAAAAATATCAACACGTTGATGGAGTTACGCAGCAGACAGGCTTATTTGAAGCTCACAACAAGAAAAAGCCAAAAATTATCATGGCAATCATACGTCAGTAGCATTACTAGCGATACACCCATTTCAAAGGTGTGGAAAAAAGTGAAAAACATATCCGGGGGCAAGACTTACTCAGCTATAAAATGTCTGAAAGAGGGAAACCGAAATGTTACAGGTAGCCAACAAATCTCAGAAGTATTGTCTAAAACGTACTATTCCCATTATAGTGTCGAGAACTATCCGGCCGGATTTCTAAGCTATAAGGCAATTTCAGAATCAAAACAAATTATAATAGAAGATGACAGTGAACCAATTAATACGCCCATCTGAATTTACAGAAGCACTAAACGATCTCAAAGATACGGCCGCCGGTCCCGATGACATACCAGCCATATTTTTGAAACATCTTCCGTTGTCTGCTAGGAAACTTTTACTAGATTTATTCAATAATATTTGGACCAACCATGTATTCCCTGAGGTCTGGAGACAAGCCATAACTATTCCCGTGCTCAAGCCTAACAAATCTCCACAACTCCCTGAATCATATAGACCGATATCTTTAACCTGTTGTATGTGTAAGC